GNGAGTCATCACAGCCTGAGCACCACATACTTAAGTGAAGAGCCTCCAGATGATTTTAGTCCTCTGGCCTTGAGTCACTTCAGTCATTTGGGTCTTCCCAACTAAGCTTCTAGACATTCCCATCCCTGCCATATCCTGTCCCAATACCTGACCACACCATCTGTGAGCATAATAAAACGGTGGTTGTTTTATACAACTCCACTTTGGGATGGTTTGTAAAGCCCACTCTTCTGATTCTCTTTCTACCTCACTGTTTACTTCTCATTGTAATGGTCCCCTGCCACCCCCAGTCTGCCCGAATGCTGGATTATCCCCAGTCCATGGACCACTTCTATTCCCACGCTCACTCCGTCAGTGATCTCACGTGGACTCATGGCTTTAAATGCCATGCTGATGATGTGGCATCAAAGTAAGATGAAGTTTACCAGTCAGACCTCTCCTCTGAACCTCAGAGAACTACATTCACCTGTTTATTTGAGATCCCTACTTGTATTTCTGACTGGCATCCAAAATGGAACAAAAACACAATAGCTCTTGATCTCCAAAACCACCTTTTCCCAATTGTTTCCGTCTCAGTAACGTGCACCTCTCAGCCTTGTAGTGGTTCAGGTGTCTTTGTCTATACACAGCTCACTTCCTGGTCTTCTAGACAGTTCTCTATTAATAAATTCCTGGTGAGGCCTTTCCTGACCGTTGCATTTGAAGTAGAATCCTCACTTCCATCCTTCTCATTACTGACTCACCATCTCAGCTTTGGTTTTCTCCATAGCACTTAACCTCCACTTGATATATGGTATCGTTTACTAATTTGTCCTCTCTTTACTAGAATGTAAGGTCCATGAAGGTGAGGGATTTTCTGTATTTTTTTTCACTGTTGCATTCTCATGCTCACACAATGTGTAATGTCTTTGGCACTCAGAAATCATTCAGTTACTTAGCATTCAGGGAGCAAAAGAGATGAGATCAAGAATACAAGCAGTGTTGGCCCCAAAAGGAGATATAATATACTTCCTCTTTGGGGGAAGAGAGAAAAGAGTGTCTGCTGGCTTTGAATATCTAAACAAGGTAGTAACAGTAATACCTGTCATACATAGAATACTATATGCTATGCCCAGGTCCAAGCACTTCACACACATATTAACTCTCAACACATATATTACTCTTCACACATATATTAACTCTCAACTCACATGTATAAAACTCTCAACAGCCTCTAGGTAGGTTCTATGATCACTATTTTTATAGATGAGGAAACTGATCAGAGTGACTGAGGTTGTCAAGGGAGAAGTGGAAGAGCTGGGATAAAAACTCAAGCTATAATGACTTTAGTGTCTGTCATTTTAACCCATCTTTTGAAGATTCTTTTCTGAAAGTGATATATCAGTGGTGGGGTACAGAACTTTAGAAGAGTGGAAGAGAAATAGCTATTGAGAGTTCAGTAGAGGGTCCATTAGGAAAACAATAAAAGGATTGCTGAGCAGCTGTAAACTCCTGGGAGCGACTAAGCAAAGAAGTTTCTTAGTGGACTCCGTTAACTAGTTAGACCACTTGAACTTCTGTGGTAACAGCGGTAAAGAAGCATAATTGAGGTAAGCCAAGTATGTGAATTCCTGGGGCAGGTAGAGTGGAGAGGTTACAAAAGCAAGCTAAGCAAGTATAGTATATTTGAAACAGTTAAGCAAGCAACCCAGGAGCAAGTTAATGAATAATTAGAATAGACTCGGGGACCCAGAAACTAGAGGTTGTGATGACAAGAAAGAAGATTCAGGAGAAATATAAGGAAATACAGAAATGGAGGGGAATTCAGAGTTCAAAATCTAGGTGATGGAGTTCAGGAATTATCCAGTGGAACATGATTCAATAGAGGAGGCTGCAATGAATCACATCAACCCACTCCTCCTAAACCCGATTATCTATATTGATGCTTCAAATTCCCGCAAGTCAAGACAAAACTCTTCATTCCACAATTAGTGGGAAGGCTTAAAAAATACAATAGTTCCAATGGGAAATAATTCAGTGATTTGTGTTGAGCCATTATCCAACAGTTTTTAAGTTCCTCCCCTACAGGTGGTTTAGACACTGTTAAGACATTAAGAACTCTCATAGGTGCCAAGCTGGGAAAAATGGGTCACTGAAAAAGGAGGTGGCTAGTCACCTATTAGATCTGCTTAATGTATCCCTGGTTCAGATTTTTGAATATTTGAAACAGTTAAGCAAGCAACCCAGGAGCAAGTTAATGAATAATTAGAATAGACTCGGGGACCCAGAAACTAGAGGTTGTGATGACAAGAAAGAAGATTCAGGAGAAATATAAGGAAATACAGAAATGGAGGGGAATTCAGAGTTCAAAATCTAGGTGATGGAGTTCAGGAATTATCCAGTGGAACATGATTCAATAGAGGAGGCTGCAATGAATCACATCAACCCACTCCTCCTAAACCCGATTATCTATATTGATGCTTCAAATTCCCGCAAGTCAAGACAAAACTCTTCATTCCACAATTAGTGGGAAGGCTTAAAAAATACAATAGTTCCAATGGGAAATAATTCAGTGATTTGTGTTGAGCCATTATGCAACAGTTTTTAAGTTCCTCCCCTACAGGTGGTTTAGACACTGTTAAGACATTAAGAACTCTCATAGGTGCCAAGCTGGGAAAAATGGGTCACTGAAAAAGGAGGTGGCTAGTCACCTATTAGATCTGCTTAATGTATCCCTGGTTCAGATTTTTGGAAAGTACAAACTACTCTATATAAACCACTTAGTGCACTTTAGTGTTAGTTGCTCAGTCATGTCCGATTCTTTGCACTCCCATAGACTGTAGCCTACCAGGTTCCTCTGTCCATAGGATTCTTCAGGAAAGAGTGGGTTGCCATTTCCTGCTCTAGGGGATTTTCCCAATTCAGGGATTGAACCCAGGTCTCCTGCATTGGCCGGCAGATTCTTTACCATCTGAGCCACCAGGCAAGCCCTAAACCACGTTTCATCTAGTGATCCAGTCAAATAAAATGCTTTTATAGATGCTCTCACAAGATGTCTCTTATTCATTGCCATTGGCAAATTATGGCATAAGCCTCTAAGAGTCAGTGTACTTGTTTTTAATTGATTATTTACCAAATTTCTCATATTTATTACTATTGAGGTTAGGAAAAACAATTATTTTAGTTGCAGCAAAGGGAAATGAAGGGCAATCATCTTTAAGAGCTATGAAAAATGATGGGTGAATGGATAAACAGACTGTGGTATATACATGTACCAGAATATTTTTCAGACTTAAAAAAGAAATTCTGATACCTGATGCACCTTGAAAACACTATACTTAGTGAAATAAGCTGGACACCAAAGGATAAATATTGTATGATTCCATGCCAATGAAGTACCTAGAAGAGTCAAATTCACAGAGACAGAAAACAGAATGGTGGTTGCCTAGGAGCTGAAGGGACAGGTAATGAATGAGGAGTTACTGTTTGATGGGTACAGAGCTTCAGTCTAGGATAATGGAAAATGTCTGAAGATAGAAACTGGTGGTGGTCACACAACAATGTGAAAGTACTTAATGCCACTGAACTGTATACTTAAGAATGGTTAAAATGGTAACTTGCATATCTATTTTACTACAATAAAAAAAAAGTTATGAAAAATAGCATAAGATTGCAGGTAGAATCTACCTAAGATGAGAAAGTAACTGTGTGTCTAGGACAGTTTAGGTACAAACAGACCTGTGAAGGGAAGCAGGATGGATAAGGACGTCAAAATGACCCCTGAGTAGTCCCCTGCAATTGATATACAAAGTGAAGTTCCCAGATGAACTGCTATACAGCTAGCCAACTGCAATGGGGACTGTAGCTTTTGACCACCAGGTTCCAGGCTTAGAACAGGGCTTTAGGAACATCTAAGTCAAGGATGTAATTCTAATAATCCATCAATGCTTCTGTTAGAGACAGATATTTTGAGGTCAGGAGCCTTGTCTGATTCTTTGTAGCCCAGACTCCCAAAAGGTATCTGGCCCCTAGAAGATATTTGTTACCTAGTTATTGAATACAGATGAAATTTGATTTGGTTTATAAAATGAAGAAAAAGTAATGTCTTTTTGAGAGTGCTATATTTGATGGGAATAAAATAAATTTTCAGACTTAAAAAAGAAATTCTGATACCTGATGCACCTTGAAAACACTATACTTAGTGAAATAAGCTGGACACCAAAGGATAAATATTGTATGATTCCATGCCAATGAAGTACCTAGAAGAGTCAAATTCACAGAGACAGAAAACAGAATGGTGGTTGCCTAGGAGCTGAAGGGACAGGTAATGAATGAGGAGTTACTGTTTGATGGGTACAGAGCTTCAGTCTAGGATAATGGAAAATGTCTGAAGATAGAAACTGGTGGTGGTCACACAACAATGTGAAAGTACTTAATGCCACTGAACTGTATACTTAAGAATGGTTAAAATGGTAACTTGCATATCTATTTTACTACAATAAAAAAAAAGTTATGAAAAATAGCATAAGATTGCAGGTAGAATCTACCTAAGATGAGAAAGTAACTGTGTGTCTAGGACAGTTTAGGTACAAACAGACCTGTGAAGGGAAGCAGGATGGATAAGGACGTCAAAATGACCCCTGAGTAGTCCCCTGCAATTGATATACAAAGTGAAGTTCCCAGATGAACTGCTATACAGCTAGCCAACTGCAATGGGGACTGTAGCTTTTGACCACCAGGTTCCAGGCTTAGAACAGGGCTTTAGGAACATCTAAGTCAAGGATGTAATTCTAATAATCCATCAATGCTTCTGTTAGAGACAGATATTTTGAGGTCAGAAGCCTTGTCTGATTCTTTGTAGCCCAGACTCCCAAAAGGTATCTGGCCCCTAGAAGATATTTGTTACCTAGTTATTGAATACAGATGAAATTTGATTTGGTTTATAAAATGAAGAAAAAGTAATGTCTTTTTGAGAGTGCTATATTTGATGGGAATAAAATAAAATTATATAAACACAATGATAGAAAGATAAGGCATAATTTTTAATACAAACAGGACAAAATAAGGCTTGGAAATCTCCCTGCATGTCACAGTTTATTTGCCATGATATAATTTCTTAGTGAATTAAAGGTAATTTCCATTGAAGAAACAGGAAGCTCTGATTTACTTTATTCTTCTTAATCATCATGGGAAAAGTGGGGAATGGGGCTTTTTTTGACTACCAGGTTCCTCAGCTCCTAAGAGGATGTAACATGGGATAAACAAAGTGATTTACTATTCAGAAGGATATGGGGTTAATTTGGCATTAAAAAAAAACACACATACACTAGAAAAAAATGGTTTGTTTCTTTTAGTGATTTTTCTGGCTCTGAAACCTCTCCAGTTTTGGATGGATTCTTTATGCAGGAGGAAATCTAAGGTAAGGTATTGAGAGTCTCACAGATCTTCCCTAGTAGGTCACATCCTGCTAATCTAATCATATTTGACAAGAAATTTAATTATCCAAGAAATTTTGTTACCCATGTTTTATATATCCGCTTCCTATAAATGCGTATCATTTAAATCTATGATACACTGAGAACAGTCAAGAATTATTTCTTGCATTTATAATTTAAGAAGCTATATTTAAAAATTAAGATCTGTTTGTGTGACTATGATTAGAAGGAAAATGAGAAACCAAAACAGATGGATATTTATAAAAACTGGTATTTCAGGAAAGGATTTAAAGTTAGAAGCCCTTTCCAACTCCTTTGTAAACTAAGAAACATACAATTATTTTAAGAATTCAGCTTTTACCCAATTGCACTCCAGATTAAGTCAAAGAAAAAGCATTCTGAAATCTTAAGACTTTTACTTGCTCAAATTTTAGGTGGATTGCTTTTCAGAACTTTTCTAATTGATATTACAAGAAATCCTCTAGCTGATAAAAGGCCAAATGTTTACGTTCTTCACAAGAGGTTGGATGGGTTTTTATGCATTGACACAGAGTGGAATTTCAGTATTTGCCATACTGAACAGCAAGGAATAATTAATTTTTGAAATCCATGTATTGTACAAATATGAAGTTAAAATAGAATTTCCACTGACGGTTAACACTGTAGATTCCATGTTATGGTTAATTCCAAGAAGACAAAGCTTGCATCTTCAGTGGGAAATACTTTTCAGTGGTTACAACATCCTCAGAGACTTTTTAGTTTGTCTTTGTCTTGCTCTTTTTGGCTGCAAAGTGCAAAAGATTCCTGAACGAATTGCCTACACATTGGGCACTGCTGAAAATACTTAACACAGCCATCACACAAGCACGTGTGCCTACACGGCAAGAGCACCCAGTTCACAGGCCCATTTTGGCAAACCACACAGTCCTTGCTATTCTCTTCTGGAGGCTCCACTTCACTTTCAGATAGTCCTGCCTTTTCTAGCAAACTTCGGTCTGTGTTTTTTTCTTCTGGAGAAGAATTGCTGGAGGGAGTGGAATTATTATTTGCAGACATGAAAAGTTGCTGAAAATCAAAGAAACAAATGTAAAGATAATTACAAATGACAATTATGCTTCAAATACAGGGGTTATAAGAGCTGCTAAAAACGTATGAACTAGCAAATCCAACAGCAAATAAAAGTTAACTTCTATGATAAGTAACTGAAAATATTATTATCTCTTTATAAATAGTCATTCTCTGAAACTCTGTAAACAGAAAAGACAAAAATAAGACTAGAGGGTACAACTTACCTTAAGATCATGAAATTGACCTTGAGCTAGGAGTAAATATTGATATAATATCCTACAGGAGAGTTTATAAGTCTTATCAGGAATATGAATTACTGACACCATGGAAATCTAAAACAGAAATTGAACACCAGTCAGTATGTGATTTCCTTATATTTTTTTCACAGATATGTGAAAAATATTTCTCACATAAAAATAAGAGGTTGATAAATTAGAAAACTTATAATAATTTCCTTAAATCACAGTCACTAAAAAGAACCCAGTTATATATATTTTGCCAGAGTTATTTTACTTATCCTCAAATTCACAAATTTAATGTTATCCCAACAAAAATAGCAATTAGTTTTTCATATAGCTACATGAGTTGACTCTACAATTAAAATAAAACATAAGAGCTGGGAAAATACTGGAAAGAAAGCTATGAGAGGGACAAAGTTCAGTCAGATGTTAAAACATACTACAAAGCCTCTAAAATTAATACAGTGTGGTACTGGCACATGAATAGATAGCTGGATGGCACAGAATAAACAGTCCACAAACAGACTTAACCATATATGCAAATATAAAGGCTGCATTTCAAATAACTAAACAAAGAGAGTATTTGCAATAATAAAAAGTACTGCAGCAACTGGATAGCTGTTTGGGAAAACAAAATTAGACTCATAATTGTAAAAATTGAAACTATACAAGTACTAGGGAAAAACATGAATTTCTTTTTAGTTTCAGTGTAGAAAAAGACTTTCTATGACTCCAATCTAGAGGCAGATAAATATGACAAATCTAACTACATAAAAATATAAAATTTACATGACAAAATACTATAAGTAAAGTCAAAGGACATATGACAAGCTGAAATACATATTCACAACGTATATCACAGACATAAGTTAATATCCTTAACTTATAAAGAACTTTTAAAAAATTGAAGAAAAAGTGAATAAAAATTCTATACAGAAATAGGGCAAAGACATGAACAGATAATTTACAGAAAGATAAAACATGGTCCTTAGCCATAATAAAAGATGTTCAATTTCACTTATAATATGATAAATGCAAATTGAAACTTCACTGAGATATCATTTCTTGCTCATCAGATTAACAAAAATTGAATAGTTTATCAGTACACTCCATGGAAAAACCATCACTCTCATATACTGCTGGAGGAAATGTGTTAAAAAAAAAAAAAGATACAATTCCAAAGGAACAACTCCAATGGAGGGGAATTTGGCAGTAGGTAACAAAATGACCCATATTTACTTAGCCTTCAACCACATAACCTCATCAATATTAAATTACAAACACACAAGTTATCCAATGCAAGATTATTTGTTATTACAGAATACTGGAAACCACCTGAATGTCCAACCACAGGAGATTGGTTGAATAGCTATGGCATTAATACATGTATACCCTACATACAATAGAGTGCTAGGCAGCTGTTTAAAAAAAAAAAAATGAGGAAGATCTCTATGAACTGATCTGGAGTGATTTCCAGGAGATATAAAGTAAAAAAAGTGAGAACATGCATAGTGTAAAGTGTTTCCTACTTTTCGTATAAGAAAGAAGGGAAATGAGAATAGAGAGATATTTGTATTTTCTTACCATTAGAATAAGAAACATAGGAAAGGACAAGCCAGAAAACAATGAACTTGGGGATGAAAGCATCATCTGGTATACGTCTTTACATAGTTTTTTTACTTTTGAGAGAACTAATCCAAGGAATTTATGGACACTGTTTTTGACAACAAATCCTCAGTTTGGGGCAGGAAATAAGGAAAGGGTAGTTTGAGGACTTAAATAATCAAATTCAGTAATGAATTATAAACCACTGGGAGGAAAAGGAATTTATGAAGCTGTGAGATAACAAATAGATAATTAAAGAGATAAATCAGAGGTCTCTTGCTTGTAATATAAGGCAGAGGGCTGAATGCAGGGCTGAAGTTGGAAAATAATTATTTTGCAACCATCATGGTAAAGATGAACTCTGACAAGAATCATTAGTGGATATTAAATACAAGGGGAGATTCTGATAAAGAACAAGATATTTGTATGGTCTTAAAGTGCCTTTTCACACACTGACTATTATTTGCAAGGGAGGGAGGAAAAAAAAAAGGAAACAATGGGAAATTAGATAATACTTTGACTGAGAGATCAAAATTAACATCGCCAATGAGGGAAAAGAACCTCCCATTCTTCTATAGGCGATGTTCTGAAAACTAAACATTATCACCTGCCCGGTACACTGAAGAAAATGCTTAACTTCAATCTAATCATGATGAAACATCAGACAAAATGAGGAATGTCCTGTTTTATGAAAACAGTGTGTACATGTGACTGTATGCCTCAAAAATACTAATGTCATAAAAGACCAAAAAAAGGCTATGGAAATGTTTCAGATTAAAGGAGGTTAAAAATATATGACAAATAAAATTTCTGACTCTAAACTACAATATGTACTGGAGGGAAAAGACATGTAGTAAACAATACTGTTAGATAGGCTGACAAATTGGAATGCAGGTAATAGGTTGGATAAAATATTGTATCAATGTTAGATTTATAAAGTAGATAACTACATCATAGTTACTTAAGAGAAGACACCTATAATACACACTGAAGTACTTGGATGTAAAAAATCATCATGTATACAACTTATTCTCAATTCATTAAAAAAAATATATATATATACACATACATGTTGTTTGTTGTTGTTCTTCACCACCAAGTCATGTCTGACCATTCTGCAATCTTACAGACTCTAGCCCGTCAGGCTCCTCTGATCATGGGACTTCCCAGGCAAGAATACTGGAGTGGGTTGCCATTTCCTTCTCCAGCAGATCTTCCCAACCCAGGGATCAAATCCGCATCTCCTGCATTGGTAGGTGGATGCTTTACCACTGAGCCACCACAGAAGCCCATATATACATATTCATATGGGCAAATAATGAAAATGGGGCAAATGTTAACAATTAGATCTGGGTAAAGGGTATATGGGTGTTCTTTTACATTTTTATTTTGGCAAGTTTCTGAAATTACATGCATATAGAAAGTTTAAAAAACAATGGCTGTAAACATACAATATTCTTTACAGTCTCATAAGGATATATTAATTTGGCAATGACTTCAGAGACTTTTAATATTATGTAAAAACAACAGGATTGTATTTTGGTAGAAGACAGTAATGCTATCACCTATTACTAACAATCCTGCCATTTAATTTAACATCAAAAGCCTCTGAAGCTACTATCATGCTAGTTATGAATACATATGTAGTTATAGATATACATTTGATATGGAAAAAATGTACAAAACATATTATTAAATGAAAGCAGACCCCAAAATAAAATGGACAGTTTGATCCCATTTTTGTCTCGAAATTACATACATAAAGGTCTAGAAAGATATAGACAAATACAGTTACTGTCTGTGTGTGACAGAATACCGATGATTTTCCTTTTTTTCCTTTTGACCTCTCTAGATTTTCTATTTCCTTCCACAAACATACGTTATTTGAGTAATACAAAAAAGAAACTAGCATAATTTAGTTAAAGTGAAAAAAAATTTAAGTTAAAATCTTGCAATGACAGTCTTCACTTTCCTTATCTAGCTAAAATAACAAACTAGTTCCTAACTACAGGATCTGAATGTAATTTACAATAGGAGTTACAATAGGAATGAGAGAGTTTAAATTTTTTTTTTTTTTAGATTTAGAATCTCTGACTCCAGATAAAATATTGAAAAACCAAATGCCCAGTTTGCTTTTAAAATTAAGAACAGAGAACATGAATACAAAATATACTAATAGACTTCAGTTCCAAAATTAGGCCCTACCTGAGAGATAAGAGATGGAGAAGCTAGGATTAACAGGAAGGCAACGAGGGAGCCTGCTGGTAAGGACAGGAGACCCAGAGAAGGACCCAGGCAGGGAGGTACAAAGAAAGAGAGAACAGGACGGCTGACCCGCAGAGCCACGGGCCCAGGCTGCCCGGTGGGAACAAGCCTCCCCCAAGCGCTACGGGCCAGGAGACTGCACTCTAGCTGGATCAGGGGGTGAGAGCAAACCTTTCCCCATCTACAATGCCACTGAACTTTACACTGAGAAGTGGTTAACATGGTCAATTCTATGTTATAAGTATTTTGCCACACACACACACACACACACACACACACACACACTCCTCTGTTTAGATGGAGGAGGAAAATCAGAAAATAAGGAAGAGTCTGAGAATTCAAGCTGACAAAGAGCTGCAGCAGTGTGGGGGGAAAGGAGCCACAGGGGAAGCTGAGAACAAGGTGACAGATGTGACCCCTTCTGTTTCAGGTGAAAGAAATGGGGGAGCTTAGAAGATACAAAGGCTCAAAATCAAGCCCTGGTTCTATCTCTTGTTTCGTGAATGGCTGGGATTTTTCTTCAAACTCTTTCAGTGTTTATAAGAAGGATATTTGCCCTAACATACAAGGGAGTTGTATAAGGAATATATAAGTTACTGGTGGCAAATGTACTTTGTAAGTTACAAAGTGTCATAATAAAGATATGGTAACATATCTTTACTAATCAATATATCTCTTTCAAGCGCTTCAGTAAAGTAGCGAATTGGTTATAAAGGCATTCTTACCATGAGAGGATTTTACCAAAAGTTTATTTCATGCACAAGCTTCTACTGTACTTACAGGAATGTCTGGCTCAAGGCCTTTTAGATCTCTAACACACTTTTATCTTCCTAATTGAGATAAACTACTGGACTGAAGAAACAGCAAATAATGAGAAAAGATTACAATAATTACTGAAAATATAGGGACCAAAGACATATAAGATGTAGGTGCAACAGGGGCTGTGATGGAAGCAAGATGACTGCAAGCACGCAAAGAAGAGAGTGGATACTGTCTTAAAATCGAGCACTTCAGATCATTACAATAGTTATTTATTCGGTGCTAAAAATGCCAGGAATAAACATGCTCCCTAACAGACTTCTTCTATGTGGCAAACACCACAGAATACAGAATGAGGAAATTAACATAATTCAACTCTGTCTTTTATTTTCTAAATATAATCATATTCTTGCAACCCATATGGGAAACCACAAGTCACACTCTGAAGAAGCAATACACATAAAAAAACTCTTACAGGAGTACTTCCCATACATTCATTTCCCAAGAAAAATGTGTCCCGGCCGCAGAAATTAAAATAAATCTTTTTCTATTTCACCAAATAATTAAGACCGATCAATCAAATCACTTAAAAGTAATGCTTCCAGAATTTTAAAATTACTTACAATGTCATAAATTTCTCGGTCATCTTTATCGGCTAGGGTCAACAGCGCTACCAAAGGATAGCGAGATCTCGGCACTGTACCAAAGTCTTCAATTTTAGTATCTCTTGGTAACTGGCAATATATTTCTTCTTTGCTGTCCTTTTTAATACTTTTTGAAGATGTAAAGGTAAACTGCCACTATAACCAAAAAATACAACAATATCCCAAAAGGAGTAAACAATAACTTAGCAACAAAATTTTATTCATAGAAAATCGAAAGTCTAAAATTTTCATGTGCTAATGGATGTATCAAATAAAAGGATACAAATACTGCTCTTGATAGAGATATTCACTATACAGAGCATCTTCTAATGCTCGCGGAGTGCTTATTCGGAAGCAATAAAAATGCTTCTGCAGAGCTTCATATAATTTTTGAACACTGCACCCCCAGTAGCATGTAAGGAGGCTATCTTCAAGGCAATCTGTTGTCAAAGTTATGCCAGCTGTAGAAAACAAACGAGACAAAGAGAAGAAAATTACCTAATGTAATTTCTATTACAATTATACACAGCGAGTAACAAAAGCTTCCTTTTGGATGCTGGCCAGGCTGATGGCAGTTAAAGGAGCTCATTAAAGAGTATCTGTCTATAAATGAAGGAAATGGTCTCTGAAACAAAAGATATAAAAACTTCAATGTCTACATGGTTTTGAAGTGCTCTCAGTAAACTCTGTTACATTATTTCATACTTAGCCTTGGAAGTTATAATTTTTTTTTTTTTTTTGGTGACTTCAAGACTCTGCCCACAGATTTAAAAAACTGAAATACAGCTCACTATTGATCACCGACCGCTCTAACCGCATATGTAATCCTCACTACAAGAACTAATAGAGCTGCCTCCCAAAGTGCAGGTAATACAACCCATGGGGGCACAAGATGATCAGTGGAACAGAAAAAACATTCAAATGAAATGGAGCTGTATTAATATGAACATATTCAGTGACAACACTAATATACTCTTGTCATCCAGTTAATGTCCCATGTAATACGCAAAATATCCTGAGGAAAGAGTGGAGATTCCAAAACATGGAGCGTCTGACAGTGATACCCTCAGCCATTTGCTTATTGCCCTTACTTATTTGCTTTCAGCATAATAAAAGGTATTATAATTTAAGTAAACCTGATTATGTAGATATACAAGTTATAAGTGAACATACAATTATCTTTTCTAAATTTAAATTTTTTAATTGGAGGGTAATTGCTTTATGCACATACAATTATCGTATGTAGTTTTTACCTATTAACACTTACACAGGACCGTAGGCCAGCTGTATGGCTTTTTTTCCCCTTGCCCAGGGCAGTTGTAGCAATATCAAGTTCAAGGGCACCGACATTCACTTTTCATACTACTGACAGTGCAAGCTGAAACGTCTGGTGCTCAGTGGCCACGGCGTACTCACCAGAGCACAAGGGCATGGTTTTGGTCATTGTTCCTGGCTGAACAGCCTTGGTATCTGTTTCTGGCTCTCCAAACCTACCGGCAATTCTGTAAACTATTCAGTGTCCTTTTATTGGAATCACTTCTGTTGTTTACAAATAGGAATTTTTATTGATGCATCATCTATTTCTTAAAGGGCAATGTCCTTGGAGAAGGAGCTACATAGACACAAGCAGATGCTCTAGAGGACATCAAAAATTGACTGAGTTTTTCACTTTTCTTCTCAGGTTAGTAGTACGTACACAGAGGCTCGGACTCCGAATGTGTACACTAGCAGAAATGCAGAGCAATTTCTAATCATAGTTAAGCAAAACTCTTAACTGGCAGGAATTTCACATAGGTAACTGGAATAGAATTTGATTTCAAATTTTTATATAATTCCAAACATCAGGTATTAATTCAAGAATAGAAAATTTAATTAGCTATGTTTTTCAACTAGCTATTAAGTAGCTAAAGAAAAACATTCTATTAATACAAATTATATACATATATTAAAATCACACATACTTTCCCCTGTTTCACCTAAGAACCACACTACATGAAGCAAGAAAAAAAATCTGGAAGTAGATAGGAGNAAAAAAAAAAGAGACAGAACATTCCCCTTTATGAAGCTTTTCCTGCATACACCTCCCGAAACTTAACCTTTCTTTCTTTTACTCCAGTGTTTCCTAGATAATCTTGCAGACAACTTATCTTCCCAAGTATAGAAACAAACAACTACCATGTATTGTTACCATTTAATATCAAAATACCAGAATTTCAGATGAAAAGATGGTTGTTCTTCAAGGGGTAGCAACCTTAATTAGCTCTACTTTTACTACATTGCTTTGCTTTTCTCTCTACACCAAAGACCAATGAAAATGGCACAGCGTCCTAATAAGACTTCTCTTATTAACTCCTGTGACACTTCATTCTTCCCATATAAATGCCTTTATTTACTAGTTTATAAGCTCCTTAGGAGCAAGATTTGTGAATTACTAGTCGTCGTGTCTCAGGTATGCAGCATAGCTCCTAGAACAGAACAGGTGCTCAACAAATGTTTGTTAGGTCTGAGGAAGAGAAAGCAATAGAGAAAGAAAATTAAAGGGCTAGGAAAGGGCCACGGAAAGAGAGAAAAATCTTTGGAAAATAGCCACCAACTTGTAATTGAAGCTGAAGATGGATTGGTGATCTCTAAGCCAAAAGGATTCTTGACTTGTCTCATTTGCTTTTTGAAAACTCTTGTGTTGAACTGGGTCTCTTCTGAATTTCTCAGAATTACTGGAACATCCCAACCAAACCTGAAGAAAGGTAAAAATAAAATAAAGCATAATTTTAACAAATACTGAAACTTTCTGTGATATGTATTTTGTTAGTTACTCCTTTTAACCTAAGTATCAGAAAATTTACATTATATTGAAGAAGTAATCCAAAATTAACAGAGATTAGATATCCCACAGAATTGGAATATATTGTTCACCTGGCTGAATCAACATACTCTTGAAAACAAAGATTTCTATTGTTAATTATTGTTCATTACAAAAGAGTTCCATGATTATAACCAAAATGTACCTAATACAATAGCAAAAACATGATAGAATTACTGAATTTCTAAATGATATAAAAAGTAAATATATGTTTAATATGTAGACTATTTGATATAATTTTAGGAACAAAAGAATTTTAAACACTAAATATAGCCCTTCATTAATATAACATATTCTCTATTTTTAAATTTCATGTAAAAACATGATAAAGAACAAACTTAGAGGGAAAATGGAATGCATAAATTCAATTCCATATAATAGTAGAAAGAAGATAAGTTTACTCAGTTTAAATAAAACAACTAAAAATGAAAACACATTAGTTAAACCAGGGGACTTTAGTTCAAGATAGCATAGTTACTTTAATACACTGTTTTCTCTCCAAACACTTAGCAGTGACAGGTTAAGAAAAAGAAAAATCAAAAGGAGCCCACTGAAATGAGTAAACAAATAGTGGTTTGCTCACTGTTTAAACAAAGCAATACCACCACTCAACAAGGAAAAGGAAACAACCATGTGGATAATTCTCAAAAACAACATACTGTGCTAAAGAAGCCTTACATAAAAAAGGACATGCTCTATGATTTCATAATAGGAAACCCTACAGTAGGAAAAACTAATTTATGGTAGAAATAAAAAACAGAACAGTGGCTGCTTCTATGGGGTAGGAGTATGAACTGACTGGGAAAGGGCGTGAGGAAACTTTATCTGGTGATGGTAATGTCATATATCTTGGTTGAGGTTTGAGTTGTATACATATGTTTGATAACATTTAAGATTTGTACATTTCACTGTATATAAATATTACTCCAAAAGAAAATAAAAGAACTACAAATGAAAACAAATATTCAACTCTAGATAGCAATATGCAATGCTTTAATACTTACAGATGAAGAGCACAAACTTACTTTGAAGTTTCAAGAAATTAACATGAACCGATGGGTAGATAGAGGAATGGATGGATATATACATATGTAATAAAGACATAGTAAATAAAATGTTGATTGTAGAACCTAAGTGATGGGCATATGTGTGTTCACTATGTATTCTTTTAAGTTTTCAAAAGGTTAATTAATAAGTTTTAATAAAAAAAGAATCATAGCTGAGTTAAAAGATGGATCTTTATTTAACCCTAACCCTAACCCTAAACCCTAACCCTAACCCTAATGGATCTGAAAAGAAAAAAATAATGAGTAAGACTGATACCATGGTTTGATATGTTCTGAGTCTGGCAGCAGGCAGTGGCAACTAAGCCTTCTCACAGATAGAGGGCCTTACAGGTTGTCCACTCAAGACCAAGGCGAGAGCCAGGTTCACACCTTGAATCCAGGAACTGGGTTAGGGCAATATCAATATGGAACAGAATTGTCATTGTAAGACCTAGTCCTTTCTGAGGGGGTCTCGGAATCTGGTTAAACAGCAAGGATGAGGACAAAGGAAGGGGACAGAGGACTTCCACTAAAATCCAGGCTGCAAACTAAAATTTCAAAATCATAACTCCAATGCTAAGAGAAAGCCAGTAAAATTAACAAATGGAACAAAATTTCACTCAAATGATTTTAATTTTACAGAACGTTGGATAAGGCTGTTCTATTCCTGTCTTAAAGAACTAAAAAGCAAGTCTCTAACAGATCAAAGCATTCCAGGTAAGTTAACTAAATCCCAAAACAAAGTTCAAGAATATTTATATGAATACAAAATATCCAACACCCACTAAGCTAAAATTCACTATGCTTAGCATCTAATAAAACTTCACAGGCATGCAAAGAAGCAGGAAAATATGACCGAGAATGAGCAGAGAAACTAATGAATAGATCCCAGGCATGGTATAGATACTAAGATTAGTATTAATAAATCCCAGGGATGGAACAGATATTGGGATTAGTATTAATAGATCCCAGGAATGGTATAGATAATAGGATTAGTGTTAATAGATCAAAGGGATGGTATAGATACTGGGATTAGTATTAATAGATCCCAGGGGTGGGATAGATACTAGGATGAGTAGACAAGGGTATCAAAATAATTGTTATCACCATACTCCATGTATCAAGAAAATAAGTAAAGATTATGCTACAGTATGCTACAAGGATGATACAGAAAAGACTCCAGCCCATCTTTGAAAATGAAAAATACACTGCATGGGATTAGCAGCAGACATCCCAGGGGGCTAGTGGTAAAGAATCCACCTGCCAATGCAAAAGACACAGGTTCCATCCCTGGTTCAGGAAGATACCGAGAGAAGAAATGGCAACCCACTCCAGTATTCTTGCCTGGGAAATCCCATGGACAGAGGAGACTGGCAGGCTACAGTCCCTGGAGTCACAAAGAGTCAGACACAGCTTAGCGACTAAACAACAACCACAGATATCACAGGACAAAAGATTAGTAAATTTGAAGATATAGCAACAGAAGGTATCCAATATAAAACACAAAGGAAAAAAGGCTGAACAAAAATCCAAAACATCAGCGAGCTGAGGAACAAGTTCAAGCAATCTAATATCACATAACTGAAGTCTGCAGAGGAAGGGAAGAGACAACAAAGAAAACTGCAAACAAATATCTCTCAGGAACATAAATACAAAAATTCTTAACAAAATTTTAGCAAATTAAATCCAACAGTATATAAGAAGGTTAATATTCAAGAATGCAAGGTTTATCTCAAGAATGCAAGACTGGCTTAACATTACATTAGAAATGTAATATAATATACTATATTAACAAGCTAAAAAATGAAAACCATACAATCTTCTCAATACAGAAAATACACTCAATACATGCAGAAAAAGTGCTTGCTAAAATCCAATGTCTAGTCCAATAAACACCATCAAGAAACTAGAAATGTGGAAAGAGAACTTAACCTGATAAAGGGTGACAATAAAAAGAAGTATAGCTAACAACGTACTTAATTAAAAACTGCTTTCCTCCTAAAGTCAGGAGCAAGATATTTAACAGCCATGTGTCCTTAAGCAATCATTCCAACTCTATGTAACTGTTTCGCCACCTGTAAATGTTTATAACAGGGCTTGGCATTATGGAAGTGCTTGCAACAGTAATCTTGATAACGGAGTTGACTTATGGGTTGGCAGAGAGAAAACACAAATCCACTAACTTCTCTTTGATCCTCAGAATCAGTTACCCCACAGCCTTTGACTTCACTGCTCATTGTTGCTCCAGTGCCCTTTAGAGGTCAAGTCAGGCATGTGAAGTGGCAGGACACAAGATATAATCTTCCTGTGACAGTCAAAACACCTTCCCTTTCTTACCTAAATCCTATAGACCGAAAAAAGGCAAAGAAAAAAGAAACACTCTACACATCAGTTCAGTTCAGTCACTCAGTCGTGACCCCATGGACTGCAGCATGCCAGGCTTCCCTGTCCATCACCAACTCCTGGAGCTTGCTCAAACTCATATCCATTGAGTCAGTGATGCCATCCAACTATCTCTCATCCTCTATCGTCCCCTTCTCCTGCCTTCAATCTTTCCTAGCATCAGGGTCTTTTCCAATGAGTCAGTTCTTTGCATCAGGTACCCAAAGTATTGGAGTTTCAGCTTCAGCATCAGTCCTTCCAATGAATATTCAGGACTGATTCTTTAGGATGGGCTGGTTGGATCTCCTTGCAGTCCAAGTGACTCTCAAGAGTCTTCTCCAACACCACAGTTCAAAAGCACCAATTCTTTGGCGCTCAGTTTTCTTTATGGTCCAACTCTCAAATCCCTAAGTGACTACTGGAAAAACCATAGCCTTGACTAGA